ACACTTTTTTTCAAACCACAGAAACTATTCAATATTTACACGTGTAATTTATTAATTTCACTTAAGAGTATGGCCTCAATGTGCTTCTACTTAGCTATAAATCTCTCTAGTTTCTCATTATTTATGGCTGAGTAGTATTCCATTTTATTAAAAAAAAAAACAAAAACACTTTTTTTATCCAGTCTCCAATTGATGGGCAATTGGGCTGTTTCCAACTTTCAGCTATTACAAACTGTGACACTATAAACATGGGTGAGCATGTATCACTGTTCTGATCAGTACTGAAGCAATGACTACAGGCCAAGAGGGCCACAGATCCAGCCATCTTATGGAACAGTATATTTCATTCAAGGTCTCTTCTCCCATCCCATTTTATATGAATGGATGTAACAGCAGTCTTCCTCATGATATTCTTGAAATTAACAAAACCAAGTCGCACACATTTTTTGTGAGCCTGAGTCTGATTTTGCTGCCTGCACAAAATAATTTCATTACCATCTCGGTGACTTGGGGGACAGAAAACATTCTCAGATTCTGGCGTACATGTTTAAAAAGAGAGTCTACACTCACTTTTGACTACAGAGGCATCATGCTACTTAGACACCCACCGCTGCAGGGGTAGGGAAATAGCTTCCAGAAAAAACACAACTCCATTCGATGGTATGGGAAAGAGAGGTAGAAAGCAAATAAAGAGGTAATCCCTTCTGTTCAGGTAAACAGGCAGATATGGAAACATTGAAATTCTTCCTCCTTGCTTTAGTCCTCTGCAAAACATATGGAAAAATAATTCTGCTGCAGAATCATCCTGCTGATCTGCTCAGCTATCAGTCTTTGAGCCGTAGCAGCTTCAACAGTGGTTTTGCCCACAACTTCCTTCCTTCCTTCTGTGTATCATCTTTCCATAGGTGCTAAAAAAAAACTTAAACTACTTTAACTCCAGGAGGCATTCTAATCTCTGGGACCAAGTCAGGAACATAAACAAGCTATGACACTTCACAGGGGATCCAGAAACTTTTCCTTCTTGTTTTCAATCATCAGTCAGAATGTTTCCCTCTATTAGCATGTGAGGATGATAATTCCTGTTAGAGATACAATGACATTGTTTTCTGAGGACCAGATCTTATTTCAAATACAAATCAAAAGCACACGGTTATAAACCTACTGTAAGGCCTGAAATACAAAAAATGGATTAGATTGAAAAGATTGAGCTGTATGTAATACTCCGTGCCTTTCTTAATTCAGCCTCGTTTCAGAGTGCCTGGTGGGTGGGTGGTGGGTGGGTGTGTGTGTGTGTGTGTGTGTGTGTCTGTAAATGTTTGGCAGTCGCATGTGATGAGTGTAAGCAACAATCCTGAGCAAAGTGACTAGGTAGGAAATGAACTTGATGCATCAGGATTGCATAAAAGCAACTGGGAAAATTTACAACTGCTAAAGTCATTATAAATCTTAGCCATGACAAGTCTTCCAGCCAGCCCTGATAATTGGTGGTTAACAGTTAGCCAGGGAAATTATGACCAAAAAAATTTTTTTTTCTTTACAATAAAGAACTAGTGGAGTGAATCATATAAAGATCAAGCAGCTAATCATTAGAACATTCTGATTACACCAGTTCTTAATGATGTAAGTCCTGAATTTACTATTGCTCTGAATAAACCTAACTCTGCAAGGGACTCCAATGGTTTATGACAAAGAGATGAAGTTATGATCGCAAGACTCTTGAGTGCTTTTAAGTCAGAGGCACACAAAGAGGTTTCAAAAGGTAAGAACAACCAAGCAACAGAATTTTACAGTTCCATTCAAAGAAATAGACATTTCTTAGTTATAACAGTAATGCATGATACTTTTACAAAATTAGAAGGGACACAAAATTTAAAAAGTACTCAATCTCGGCCTGTCCTCAGAATACTGCAGATTTTCAGAGAAGATTCTTCACTAAATGAAGGCATAATTTTGTGTCTATCTACTAGATAAAGACAAAACCAAAGGAGAAAAGCTACATGCTACCTTTTATGTGTGTTGTTTTGCTGAGGATTAGCACTTCTGGGGGTGTTTAAGTTATCTCCCGTACTTGCTCTCAAGAAGGAAAGGAAGGGCCAGAGAATTAGCTCAGTGGCACTGCACCAGCCTCTCACAAACACATGGCCCTGAGTTCAATCCCTTCTAGGGGCGGGGGCGGGGGGGGTGTCTCCTAACTGCAATTAAATAAACCCGATTTCATTTTGAAAGGTACACCAGTTGGACCAAAGCACATAGGAAGGGACATATCTCTTCTATAGCAATATTCTCATTTTTGTTCTCAGGATCAAAGAATCCCTTTGAAATGCACATAAAAGCCACGTCCAATCACTATCAGAGATAACAGACAAAGAACACTGACAAAACAAAAACTGTTCTATAAATAGCCTGTCAGTAGCCTTTGGGTGGAAAAATGCTAAACATTTTCACAGTAAACAGATCAATTTACCCATTTGTCTATTGGTGACACCTGCAGTATGGTTTCTTTTATCAGGCTTTTCATTAAAAAAAAAAAAGAGTCCTATCCAGAAGCAAACATCCTAGAAAGCCATATTAAAGTAATTACACAGTTGGAAAAGTCTATTGGTATCAATTACTTTAAAAATCTTCCAGATGGAGAACAGTACTTCCATGCTGGGTGGCAGAAAAATGGAGGTAACCAACAAAGGACTGGTTGAAATTATTAAGGAAATATGTCCTGGGAAATTAGGGGAGCTTAGTATTAAAAGCCAAACAACCCTTCCCCCCTACACCAATGAGATCTTTATAGCTGGCCATCAAAAGAGGGCAGGTTATTGATTATTACAGAATGAGCATGCTGTGATTCCTGGTGTCTAAAGTAACAGAATATCTATCATGCCACAGAGAGACACATCTTGGAAACCTGCCAGACACCTCCCACCTCAAGCTACCTGCCATCCATCTCCCTATAAAAGCTAAGAATTAGGAGAAGGGAATGGGCCATTATTGTTGAGCAGGTACACAGTTTCAATTTGAAAATATTCTAGAGATAGATGGTGATGGCTATGCAATAGCAAAATATGTCATGCTATCCGCAAAAATGGTTACAAGTGATATATTCTGTAATACATTTACAACAGTTAAACAAATAAACAAGCAAGCAAAGCCTAAAAACAAAGCTGGGATTCTTTTGAGAAACTCTCAAGAACTCGATGACCCAGCCACTAGTCCAGATGTCACAGGTTGGCTTACCAACAACAAGCTACAGACCCAACATCTTCAGAGTCACACCTGCATAACACATCCTATGTTTTGACTGACAGCAAGCATAAGGCATGGCTACATGGTATCTAGAGCTACATATTATGTTCTACTCTTAGCAAAAACAACTCAATGTGTTGTTCAATTCATAAACTGCTCAATCTCTTTAGGAAAAATGGTGGGGGGGCAGGTTTTTGAAATTGTATATGAAGTATTTTCTCCTAAGTGGGACTAATTTTTTTAAATATAAGAATTATAGAAAAATAATAATTCTCAAGATCATAGCATTATTTGTAGGATGCTCAGAGCTTAAAGAAGCTTCAAGTTTTTTTTTTTTTAATTTCCTATATGTCACTATCGCTAACTTCCTTTTCTGTTGTACATGGATGGCTCTTACATTTTCTTTCTTTTTTATTACTTTATTTTACTTAAGGAACATCAATGTCCTTGGAAAATAGGCAGGTTAAAATAGGTGAAAGAGAGGCCATACAACCACTCACACTGGAGATGAATCTTTACAGAGAAAAAGAACATAATCTTGATAGGTTTCGAATGCTTTATAAGGCCCTTTGGTCAAAGACATGAAATACAGAAAACAATGTAAGTTGTGGGGATAGAAGGGAATGCTTCTTGCAGGGTTAAGAATTAGGACAACTGATTACACGCTGAACTCAGGAAAAATAATCCATGATTGCATCTGTGTAGTTTTGCAAGCATCATATAAAATAAATCATCCAATGCTGCCAAGGTGAGATATATCAAGTCACCGTAACCTTTTTTCCCCTCCTCCTTTCTCTAAATCACAATGCAAATGAACAAACATGAAGCTGGAATATAAAACTTTTGCTGAATGACAATTCTTGTGTACGTCTATTCTTTACATTTCCACAGCTACCATGTACAATAAACTGTGTAAGATTAAAACAGTATCTTTGGTTAGTAATTAGGAAGAAAAATGAGAAAGGAAAAATGACAAAAGCTTCTTGGACCACTGTATGGTCTTAACAATAAAGTATCTATAGCAATAAAAATTCAAAATCCAATTTAATCTTCATACCGAGTAACCCACAAGCTATTTCCTCTAATATTTTTTTTTTGCTTTGACGTTACAAAAAAAAAAAAAAAAACTGGAGAGATATTAATTCAGACTTTAGAAATCAAGTCCCTATATGTTTTGTGCAGTGTGTGTATTTGTGTGTGTACATACACACACACATACATACATACATACATATATATTTAGTAATACTGTTAAGTTTTATTAGTTTGATACCTATTCAATAACATTTTAGCTATTGGAACACAGTTGACTGTAATTTTAACTATCGTGGATGCCTTTTTTCCTAAAGACATTTCATTTTATAACCTCTTGTTTTAGTGCAAAAGACCCACTTATGATTGTCAAAATGTTTATGTATTACTACAGACTCATCCTCAAGGGAGAAAGAAATCTCACATGCTGTTAACCCCCACATTTTCAAATTTTATATACAACATCATCTACATTAAGGCCTCATACTCATCAGCCATTTTTTGAAATGCTGTGGGTACAAAATATCTTACCTTGCCTAAGCAGATGTGCTAGAGAGCCACACTCCTGAGTGCCCCACTGCCACCAAGCTTAACCTGGTATTTTTCATCACCAAAGAACTTTAGCCACTACCTCATCAGCAAATGTTCCAAGCAAAGTGCTCTATCAAAGTCATCATTTCCCAGAGAGGAAAACAGGCAGGGAAGATGAGAGGGCAGAAATGATAATTTACCTGCATCAACTTTCTGGAGAGCTCATTAGTGAGGAACTCTTCTTCCTTCTCATAATTTACAGCAAGGGTTTCTTTCTCCTTCTGCAAAGCCTGAATCTTCTTGAATAATGTGTTGCTGATGAATTCTTCTTCCTGCTCAGCCCTGGCTTGCTGTTTTAAGAAAAAAAGAGAGAACAAGACAAAAACCCGTGAAAAGGAGACAGGAAATTTATTGATTGCAATATAGTTCTTCTTTACAGAGAAGGTGCCTATTTTAATTAGCACTCTATTTTTAACTGTGAACCCCACTTCCCAAAAAAGCAAACACAGGAACTCATCAGTGGCCCAAAGAGCAAATATTACAATTACCCCCATAGTAAAGGCCTCTCCATACTATGTTGGGTCCTTCTAAAAGCATGTCACTACTTTAGGATGTGGCTGAAAGGCCCTAGTTATGCCATTTTAAAAAGCAATGCAGACAGATACACACAGACACATTTACATGTCATGGATTCGCTACCAGAAGGCGATACATCAAAAGAGCCTAAAAGTAGTTCTAACAAGTTGGTGGGAAGCTAGAGAGCAAAGGGAAAGGTAGATGAGAAGAAGTTTCCTTTTTTACTTTATGCTCCTCCTGAGAATTTGGGGGAGGGGTGGCAAGAACAGGCCTTACTGAATTAAGACATGAAAACCACAGAAGCTAAAGAGGTCTGGCATCATCCAAAGGAGTTGACCCTGTGTTGTAGATTCTCGATCCCTCCTCCACAAAAAATTTAATAGACTAAACAGAAAACCTAACCATCCTTGAAGGAAATTCATCTTTTCAGAAAGAAATGGTTTCAACTCTGTTCAAAGCACTTTTTAAATTGCAACATTCTCATGTATTTATCCCAAACAATACATTCCTATTTAATCTGCTAAGCAGAGGGAAGAACTACATGAATTCCAAATCTCTAGCACCCGTCACTTGTAATAATACATGACAGCCAGAAGGACAGTAAGCAAAGGGCACCTACATTAACAATGATCATGAAAAGGTCCAAGCACCAGTCCACTCCTCCACAGCATACATTTGGTACCAATACCTACACCTTGACACCCAGTTTGTGTCACCACACCTCGGCTCGCCATCACAGTAGCCCTAGAGAAAGTGCCAGACCATGAACTGTTTGCCAAACGTTTCTACAAAAGACAGCCACAAGCAGTATTCAGACTGAAAGCCAAAGTTACACAAAGGCTGCAAACTTTATAAGGTGCAGCACTCAAGGTCCTAACAAAGCCATTCTGGGATAGTCCAGGAGAGTAGGGGAACAGAGCCAGCAGCTAATAACCTCACTTGACCACCCAAAGGCATCCAGTGAGCAGCCCCCGGCTCTCCATACCCTTCACACGTGTATTTTACCAACATTACTCTTTCCTGTGAAAACCGCTGAGGACTGGGACATCCCCTGGCCCTTTAAATCAATTCCTATTCCTCCTCCAACCTCACAATCTTCAAAACCCCCTAATTAGTGCAACGAGCAGGAATCCATGGTACCTAATTAAGGCATAGGTGATACATATATCCAAACACACAATCTTTCTAAGTTTCCCTTCTTTTGACTAACAAAGTCTTACATGGTTTGAATTCTGATTCTAAAAGTTACAGAACAGAAAGGTTGAGAGGAACTATAATGTTTTTGCTGGTGATTCCAGATTTAGAATTCAAAAGGGTATTTGTTGTAAATCAATTTCACTACCAGGCCAGATTCAACTACTTGTACATTATCACACGTTTAATATTTTAGATAACTGTACGTTTAATTATAAACAATAAAGGGACTGGACTCAGAGGCTCAGCAGGAAACACTCCCCTTTACGTGGGGGCCTATACGTGAAGCTGAAAGCAAATGCCAAGCGTTCATTCCTGGGAAGGTAAAAATAAACCCCTCTCCCTCTTTCACGTCACCATTAAGTTACAGAAATAAATTTCGCTGTAATAGATGGAAAAATAATTAGTGGTTGCCGGAGAGAAATGAAGAATGACTGCTTACAGGTACAGGGTTTCTATCAGAAGCGATGAAAATGTTCTGAAATTAGATAATGCTGATATTTTATACAAACTTCTAAATATACTAGAAGATGGTGGTCTCTGGTACACTTTAAAGTGTGAATGTTATGGTCTGGGAATTGCACCCCAATTATTGAAAAAAGAGACTGTGATAATTAGCAGGGTCCGTATTTCACACATTCTAGTTTCTTTTGTAGTTCTTCCCAAGAAGAGCAACAGATATTAAGAAGATGCGGGCAGGCAAATGAAAAGAGGTAGGCTTGTTCTAAGTCTTCCCAAAGTGACATGTGAAGGGTCTTGGGAAGTTGAGGCTTTGGCAAACAAAAAACTATGCACTATTTTTAATAGCCACCTATTTCTAGGCCACATCTATTACCAGAAAATGCCACTCTCAGGATCCCTGCGTGGACAGGAGAAACCGTGCTGCTGAAGCCTGTTGAAAATCTAACTTAACAGAGGGTTAACAGTGGCTCAGTTCATCAAGTCTCTGCCTCCAGTTCTAAGTTCTGAATGGGGGCTGTCCAATTGGTATAGATCATTTTCGGAAAGAACACATAATTATCCAACAAAAGCTCAGAAAAAATTTTTAGAAAATCAGATATATTGTGTATTGATAATCAGAGAATGAACCATGCATCATAGAAAAGCCCTGAATATTCATTTGGTTTCTCCTGTAGGTTTAGCCCCATATCCTATGTAGTGTGATCCCAATCTTAGTCTTGATTTTTATTTCCCAGTGTTAAAAGAGGCCTTTCAACTTACGCCATAAAACATTTGCCTTTCCAGTGTATTTAATCTAAAGAAGCCAGGAAGGAGCCAAAGAGACGCCCCATACACTGTTTCCAAGACATCGACCTCAGCCAGACAACAGATGGACAGAGTGAAGATAAAACAAATTCCTCATGAAATTTCAACTTCAGGATTCATCTGAAATGCCTGAGAATCTCAGCATACCTAAATCTATCCGAAGTACATTAAGGCTGCATTTTAAAAGCTCAGTAAATAAATCAAGGTTCACCTATAACTCCGTAAACTCTCAAGTGAAGATGTGAACAAAAACACGAGGAAGACTTTGAAGGAGGCAACCTTTTCGTTCTGTTTTGTATGTTTGTAGAGTTGAAGATGAATATCAGGGAAATATAGGAGAAACAGAAAAATCTGTGATTACATTTTCATATTCAATATGGTTCTGAGATTTAAAAACAGGTGAATATGGTATAATCTTATTCACTTATTAATGCATGCTGTTTAACACACTGCCCTCCACCTAGAAGTGATCTTTCAGTGTCTAATGATGTGGAAACTAGACCATAAAAAACAGAATGTAAATTTTTAAAGAGTGGAGGTCAGCCGGGGAAACTGATCAAGTCTCTGGGAAAAAATAAACAAAAAGAAAATATTTTTTTCCTGAGTTACCATGTATTTAGGTGACTGCACTCCACATACGCATCATTTTCTACAGATAAGGAAAACACAGTTTGCTCTGATCCAGTGTTACTGTGACTAAGGCACAAATTTGAAAAGATTCTACTTTGTTCGGGAATCTCTAATGTGTTACTCAGTAGCATTGCAGAAGGTCGGCGTAAAAATAGGAATTCCAAACTTATCGCAACTGTCTCAGTGCTGGCAAGAAAATCCAACTGCCCAAACCAAAACCAAACAGGACGATCACGATCAGTGAAGCATCAGATAAACAAACAAACCAACAGCCCTCTGCTGCGTGCCACACCCAGGTTCTAAAAGACTTCACCAAAATGCCATCCCAAATGGAACGCGCCAGGGAAACCATGATGTTTACGTGTCACACATTCTCAGGGGACAAAGGCTGCTTAACGAAGAAGGACCTGTGAGTACTCATGGAAAAGGAGTTTTCTGGGTTTTCAGAAAATCGAAAAGGTCCTCTGGCTGTGGACAAAATCATAAAGGACCTGGACCAGGGCCGAGATGGCAAAGTGGGCTTCCAGAGCTTCTTGCATTAAACACAGGCCTCACGGCTGCGTGCATTGACTCTTTTATAGTCCACACGAAGCAGAAGGGAAAGAAGCAGGCAGCATCGAACATTTATTCCTGCCCCGAGGAGAGTTCTCCCAGAGGGCCACTTGAGGAATCTTTCCCTCAGTTTCCCCTTGTATAAAGATTCCATGAGCAGACCTTAGAAAATATACAAGTAACACCCAACTCTCAGACAAGCAGAGAAAGGAAAGTTAGTGAAACGCTAGAGAAGCTTCTGATTTTTATATTGTTTGCGTCCTCTTGCCCTCAATAAATAAAGTCTTATTTAGTTCCAGGAGGGGGGAAAAAAAACCCCAATGGAAAAACAGTTTCCAAAGCAAGAAATGACAAGCAAATGTCTATTTAACAGCAGCTGTAGGGAAGGGATACAATCTGAGAAAGTTCAAGTGACTATAAAGAGAACACATTAGTATCCACTTAAAAATATTACTTTTAAGTTGGTTAATGACTTATTTCAACAATAAAGAATCATGAAACTAAGGTATCTCAGCGTTTTAATGTTCAAGGATTGCAGTAAGGTTTTTTTTTTTGTCCTAGAAAGGGTCTCAATTGTGGTTTAAAGTTGGCCTCAAATTTACTACATAGCCCAGGTGGGCCTCAAACTCATAATCCTCCTGCCTCAACCTTGCAAGGGATTACAGGAGGCGTGCACAACTACACCAAGCCCGTTTATTATTTTAACCATTTAAATTTGAGGACATATTTGAATACATTAGTCTAATTATTTAAATGTGCTATTTAATCTCTTGACTACTCATTTGCGATCTACATTTTAATGATCTTGAAACCTTGAAATAATATCTGAAGCTACAGGGCTAGGAAAGCCCCATACAGCTAGCAACTAAATGAAACTATTCTTTCTACACTGTCACTCACTAAATGAACACTGCACAGATCGACTCTTCTGGGAGATGCTTAGAGTTTATTTTACAGAGTCAATCATGTCTGATAGTTGGCAGCTCTTACATAATTGAGTCATCAGAAAGTAAATAATTTTTAAACAAGAACTAAGTATCAGAGATACCAGGGGACTTATCAAGACAAAACACTGATCTGCAGAAATCTTTTCAGCATTTAAGTCTTCATATGACAGGGGTGGGTGGCAGTGCCACAGACTAAGGCCATATTTACCTCCATTTCTTTACAAACTAAAAAGAGAAAAAAAAAAGTGGCCAAGGAAAGGCTCTCAAGACAAGCCTGAGAATTACAATTTTCTGTTTAGTCCACGGAAGCCCTAGGCTAGTTTGTGCCTCTTTCACATCCTGCACACCAGCTTGCCATAAAAGAAATCAATAAAGCATTCTCTTTTTTTTGGTACCAGGGATCAAACCCGGATCCTTGTACTTGCAAGGCAGGTGGCGGAACCACTGAGCTAAATCCCCGGCTCAGCATTCTTATTAATCAGAATGGCTAGCGAGTTACTAAAGTATGCAGGGATCAGAGCAGACCCATCCTAAGTCCTGGCAACCTGCGCTATTCTGACTCAGACTCATCTTAGGCCACTGTCACAGAACTACAAGCCAGAGAAATGAGAGCACCAAAGGGTGACTTTCTGCATAAAAAAAACCCTCAGAAAACATGGGAGGTATAGCTCATGATCTAGTAGTTGCCTAACAGGTGAGGCTCTGGGGTTGACTCCCCTAATATTGCAAAGAGGATGAGGAGAAGGAAGAGGAGAGGGGAGGAAGAGGGAAGAAGAGGAAGAACAATTGAGAGAACTTGACTCTAACAACTGCTAAGTTTTATCAGCCTGTGGTTTCTCTCAAACATGTTTTGGAAAAAGGCCAGTTGAGCCCCATACAGTCTAGTGTGTACTAATTCTACTCTAGGCATACGCCTTAGGGAACCCATTCCATATCTATAAGGAAATAGTGTAAAAATATTCGCTGTATTGTTGCTCTTAAGTAAAATACCAACACCCCAAATGCCTGTCAAGATAAAAACAAAATGAAAAGGAAAAAGTAGTGAAACTTGAAAAAAGACCAGCTAAGCACAGTATGAACAAAAGAAACACAGTACTGAGTGAAAAAACTATCGGAAAACACATTTCTTCATTGAACTAAGAGAAGTGGAGTAAATGTTGCCTCAAATACATTTGTGAGATAAAGGGTGGGGAGAACAGAATAGAAATGAAACTCATAGGTACGTGCAATAGTATTGGCACCATTCTTGTTTAGCTGAATGGTAAGGATCTGGGTGTTCACCCTCTTGTGCTTTATAACGTGCACCTTTTATAAGATCCATTTAGCCTTTGGTTGAACAAAATGAAAACATTAAAACAAAGGTTATATATCCTTGGTGGAGAAATCTTTTTTCCTCTTAGTATTAATACATATTACCATTTG